AAAAAAAATTCGAATAAATCATCAAAATTTTCAGAACTGTCAGACTCGCGCCAAGCGACCAGTTGCAGTAGTAGGACTCGCGCCGCACGACCATATCTCAGTTTTGACAGGTCTGACTTGAAAAAAAAAAACACATAATACAAGCAACGTCCACGTGGTACTATCGATCTTCACCTGGCAAAAATCTACCCGCAAGTAGTGAGCCAGAGGTAAATCTCTTAACACCACATCGGCATGTGGTTTTATTTCTTTGGTGTTTGCTTGATTGTTTTATTTATTTTAAGTTTTGGACTTCACTCGACCGACCCATAGGATATTATATTGCTAGTCAGGATTTGTCTCACTCAATAGGAAAACTCTTAACTTTTATACACCGGAGGTGGTGACGGTATCTGAAAAGGTACAAGAACTGAGGTGTGTAAATTTTATAAAATCACATACCGGGGGTGTGACGGTGCCTGCAAGGGTGCAAGAACTGAGGTGTGTGACTTCTAAAGAGTAGGAGCAGTTTTTTTCTTTTGGGCATAAAGACTAAAAATTTTGTGAAACCCCACAATAAAATAAAACAAATTAATTTCATCACATCAATTATCGAGTCAATACTGTTTGGATTACTTTGTTTTATTTTTGTTTGTGTGTGCTAGTTTATGTTGTGTTGGGAATGTGATTCTACGGGTCGTTTAGTAAGCATAGAATCTAGCGAGTTATTAGAGTCAACACTTGTAGGTGAAAAATCAATCTTTCACGAGATGGCTGAAGAAAAACTTTTTAAGGATTACTTCTCACCTATAGCTAGCAATACTTCGCCTTGCATTGTCTTACCTCAAACAAATGCAACTAGCTTTGAATTAAAACCTTCTATCATTCATCTTTTACCATCCTCCTATGGATTAGATAAAGAAGATCCTTATCTCCATGTCAAAGAAAATCTTGACATTTGTGCGAACCTGAAGTATCCAAACTTTTCTGATGACTCTGTCCGTCTTAGGTTATTCCCTTTCTCTCTAAAAGATAGGGTGAAATCTTGGTTAAATTCTCTAACGACTGGAACCATTACGTCCTGGGAAGCTTTATACACTATATTCTTATCTAAGTACTTCCCAATTCATAAAACCAACGCTCTTCGACGGGAGATTACCAACTTCCAAGAAAAAGAAGGTGAACACTTTTTCGAGTGTTGGGAGAGGTTTAATGATTTATTAATTAAGTGTCCTTATCATGAAATTCCAAAATGGAGTCAAATGCAATATTTCCGCGACGGTTTGACACCACAACACCGTAGCATAATTGACTCTACTAGTGGAGGTTCCCTTATGGAGAAGAGTGTCGAAGAGATGGAATTTTTTTGAAACCCTCTCAGAAAATTCCCCAACAATGGGATTATTCCAAGAAAGACGTAGAGAAGCGAAAGAGTGGTTTATATGAAATCAAAGACCCATCGTCCTTACCTAAACCACCCTCTTCATCATCTAAGTTAGAAAATGCGGTGGAATGTCTAACTCGAAAGATAGATGCTCTCTTCTCAGCTAGTCAACCTGTTAATGCACCTTCTGAAGTCTTTGCTGGTTATACCAACTCTTCATACACGTCTCAAGAGTGTCCTCATACTGAGTTTCCCGACTATTTCACTGAACAAGTTAATACTTTTAATCAAGTTAGAAAACCTTTTAATGATCCTTATTCGAATACATACAACCCAGGATGGGCTAGGCACCCTAATTTTTCGTATAGCCAAGGTCCCCATCAAGGAGGTCCAGCTGTGGTTACTCCATCTCAACCATTCCATCCTCCTAATACTAGACCACAATTTAATCAGGTTACACCTAGTCTAGAAGATTCACTTAAGTTTTTTATGCAACAAACTGGTAACATCTGTGCGCAACAATCACAAACCATAAACGAGCTTAAGTCTACTTCTCAACAACAATCTCAAGCTATTAACAAGTTTGAGATAGTTGTACATCAGATTGCCAATTCTTTAAGTGGGTGGGAACCAGGTAAATTTCCTAGTCAACCTATCCAAAATCCTAAGGGTCAACATGAAGTTAGTACGAGTTCTAGGTCGACTAATGAAGAGGTTAAATCTATTACTATTCTTAGAAATGGAAGAGAAGTTGACAATAAGGTAGTGGAACCTAGTCAAAGAGTTGTTACCTCATCTAAGAAACCCTCACAAGATGAATCCAAATCTAATCAAGAAGAAGACAATGTCCCACAAGATAAAGAAAATCAGATTCCAGATACATCTTATGTGTCAAAGGCACCGTTTCCATCACGGTTAGCCCCGATTAAGAAAGGGTCGAATTCTAATGATATAATGGAAGTGTAATGGAAGTGTTTAAACAAGTCCAAATTAATATTCCATTACTTGAGGCGATTAAACAAATCCCTGCTTATGCCAAATTCTTAAAAGATCTGTGTACCCAAAAACGTAAGTTAAATGTGCATAAGAAGGCATTCCTCACCAAACATGTTAGCTCAATTATTCAACACAAAACCCCACCTAAATATAGGCATCATAGATGCCCTACCGTCCCATGTGTGATTGGTGATCATCTCATTGAGAAAGCCTTACTAGATTTAGGGGCTAGTGTTAATCTTTTACCTTTTTCTGTTTATGAGCAACTAGGTCTTGGTGAGTTGAAACCGACTCAAGTAACCTTACAATTAGCTGATCGTTTTGTTAAAATTCCCCGTGGTATTATTGAGGATGTGATCATTAAGGTTGACAAATTTTATTTCCCAGTGGACTTCATTGTCTTAGATACGCAACCTGTTCACAATCCTAGTAACCAAATTCCTGTCATCTTAGGTTGTCCATTCCTTGCTACATCCAATGCTACAATTAATTGTCGGAATGGGATCATGAAGTTGTCATTTTGGAATATGACAGTAGAACTTAATGTGTTTAATGTTAGTCAACAAACACTTGATTCTGACGATTTCTTTGAGGTTGATGTGATAGAAAGCGTGGTAGGTGACACTTTCTTAAGTTCTAATTCAAACGATCCTCTCGATACTTGTTTTAACTCATCTTGGTTTAGATGGTGACGTAGGAAATTCCATAAGAGAAGTTAATGCCGTGTTAGATGTAACACCACCTTTAGATACTGGTAAATGGAAAACCAAAGTGGAATCCCTCCCACCCTCTAAGTCTAAACCCGTCCCTTCCATTGAGAAACCACCCAAACTTGAACTGAAACAATTACCTGAGACTCTTAAATATGCGTTTCTAGGTTCTTCTGAAACTCTGCCTGTTATAATTTCTTCCGATCTTACGAATGACCAGGAGAGTAAGTTATTAGACGTTCTTAGAAACCATAAAACAGCCTTAGGGTGGTCTATAGCTGATATTTAGGGTTTAAGTTCTACGGTTTGTATGCATCATATTCATCTGGAAGAGAACAACAAACCTACCCGTGAGGCACAACGCCGACTTAACCCTAACTTAAAAGAAGTTGTTCGAACTGAAGTGCTTATATTGTTAGATGCTGGTATTATTTACCCAATTTTCGACAGCTCGTGGATTAGTCCCGTTCATGTAGTTCCTAAGAAATCGGGTATCACGGTAATAAAAAATGATAATAATGAATTAGTTCCAACTCGTATGACTACCGGGTGGCGCATTTGTATTGACTATCGTAAACTTAACTTGGTCACTAGGAAAGATCACTTCCCTCTTCCATTCATCGACCAAATGCTTGAAAGGTTAGCCGGACATGAGTATTATTGTTTTCTTGATGGCTATTCCGGTTATAACCAAATTCCCATTGCACTTGAGGATCAAGAGAAAACCACCTTCACTTGTCCCTTTGGTACTTTCGCATATCGTCGTATGCCATTTGGTTTATGTAATGCACCTGCTACTTTTCAACGGTGTATGTTTAGTATCTTTTCCGATATGGCCGAAAGATTCCTTGAGGTTTTCATGGACGATTTTTCTGTGTTTGGAAATTCCTTTGATGAATGTTTACACCATTTATCTCTAGTCCTTACCAGATGCGAAGAGAAAAATCTTGTCTCAAATTGGAAAAAGTATCATTTTATGGTGAAACAAGGGATTGTTCTCGGGCATGTAATTTTCAATAAGGGTATTGAAGTTGACAAAGCTAAGATTGATTTAATCTCTAGTCTTCCACCACCTAAAACGGTTAAGGAAATTAGGTCTTTCTTAGGTCATGCAGGATTCTATCGTTGATTCATTAAAGATTTTAGTAAAATTTCGAGACCTTTGTGCAGTCTACTTGCCAAAGATACACCCTTTCTCTTTAATGATGATTGTTGAAAAGCCTTTGAGAAGCTTAAGGCTTTATTAACTTCTGCCCCTATCATCCAACCACCTAATTGGGATTTACCTTTTGAGATTATGTGTGATGCCTCTGATTATGCCGTTGGAGCCGTTCTAAGACAACGTGCAAATAAAATACTGCATGTAATTTACTATGCAAGAAAGACCTCGAATGACGCACAACTAAACTATTCAACCACTGAGAAAGAATGTCCAGACCCATATTTATTTAAATAATGTCCAGACCAGGTCATTAGGAGATGTATTCCTGAGAGTGAGTTTTCTAGTGTCCTCACGTTTTGCCATAACCATGCATGTGGAGGTCATTTTATTGCTAAAAAAACAGGTGCAAAAGTTTTGCAGTGTGGTTTTTATTAGCCTACTCTTTTTCGAGATGTGCATGCCTTTTGTTCAATTTGTGATAGATGCCAACGAATGGGTAGTATTTCACGTAGAAACATGATGCATCTTTCCCCTATTTTAATAGTTGAAATCTTTGATGTGTGGGGTATTGATTTCATGGGTCCGATTCCTTCTTCGTGTGGTAAGCTTTATATTTTAGTCGCGGTCGACTATGTTTCTAAGTAGGTGGAGATTGTCGCTAGTAACACTAAGACCACAAGGTAGTTGTCAATTTCTTAAAATATAACATTTTTTCTCGTTTTGGTACTCCTCGCACAGTCATAAGTAATGGTGGTTCCCATTTTTGTAATAAACCTTTTGAAGCCTTAAATCAAGTGGGTGTAATATAAACTTAGATTTTGTAGTCTATCTCAAGGCGAAGTCACCATATCTTAACCTTAAAAATGATGATAAACATTAGAAAACCATTTCTTTTAGCTTTTTAGCCTACCCTTATATTAATTATCCAACTAGGAGCCCTCTTGAGCTTTTATGTTAGCCTTTTATTTGTTAACCCAACTTCTTTTACCTAACTCCAATTAGGAGTATAACCCCTATTATATTATTCCCCTACCTATTTAGCCGGAAATATCAAGGATGGAAAGTTTGACGAAGAAATGAGAACAAAGTGCCTCCAAGCTAGAAAACGAAGTTTAATAGATATATCAAAGTTTGAAGTTAGTGATATTATACTATTCTCTCCTCTTGAGTACAAAAAAATATAAAAAAAAA